CCTCTCTTTCTTTGTCTATATATATATTTATATATTTAATATCTTTATTATATATATTAAATAATCATGTAGCATTAGCTTATAATTACTGGATAATAAAATTATCAAAAAAGCAAAAAAAGTAAACTTTCTCATAAAAATAAAAGGGTTTTCGTGTCGAAGCATATTTCACATACAAAAGCAACAATTATTTATAGAGGCCTTGCGATTTTTGTTATCTACTTATATATATAGTGCATATACAATCTCTCCTCCAATATTACTTTACCCTTTACTATATCCTTCGCATGTGTCCTCACTTGTTTGCGCATATATGTATGTAAATATATGTGTATGTGTTTGTTAATAATGAGAGTGTAAGTGCATGACAATTGTAGAGATTATATTATTCATTCGTTTAGATTTGGCCCTTTTTCGGCAGAGTAAAAATTGATCGCGGCTAAAGGTTCTTAGAATAACCGTTCATTAGAAGATTAAAGTTAAAATCAGTCGAAGCCAGATTGCGACACTATTTTTTACATTGTTTGTCATTTTCAAGATTGCATGTAAATGTATAGTAATATTACTCACTGTATTCATATACTGTGCGTTCTCTCGCTTCCAAATTTAGATATAATTTTGATTTATTCATTACAAAAACTTCAGATATTATGATCTTTTTGTATAAGTTATACAGCATATATTCACTTTATTTGTATATAAAATGGTAAAAATTTTCTACTTACACTGTGCATCAATTTCACAATAAAGCTTTATTCGAATAAAAGCATTTATCGCAAATATTTCGATTAATACGTTTCGTTTAAAGCATGAATGTCTCTTTTAGGTTTAAAAAAAAATAATTAATTTCAGTATTATAAATATTTTCCAATATAGGCACTAAGATTTAATACTTTGTGAATACATTTCGATATATATATATATATAGTCACTCGAATATAATATACTAGAATAAAAGAATTTCTGTTAAAAATAGATTTTATTGACTATCGATACAAGTATTGAACTTTTCTAAAAGAGAGAAAAATATTTTCTGTTTATACTTATACATTTATTCCTAATACTTCTGTATATATGCGATAGAAAACATTATATTTTTTTATTGTATTCGTCTAAATTATTTCAATATTGTCAAATCTCTCTTTATGGACACAATTCAAGTGAAGATTCCAAAATAGTTTTGAAGAGCAATTCGATAATTTAGCAGAAAAAAATTCCAATACGTGACAAAACCATTAGTAAATGTATAGGTAAAACGATAAATTACTTGAAAAGCGCAAATACTTGTATCGGATAAGCAATAATGTTTACTCTTAGCAGAACCAATTTCCAAATCTTTTTTTCAATTGCAGCACTTGACGCTATGTTAAAAGATATAAATATGTCGATAAATTTAGAAATCAACGCGCGTCATGTTGCGAAATATTGGATACTACATGCAGTCTTAAAAGTATTTCACAAGTCTGGAACAATTCGTATATCTTGTCACCAATCGACGTGTCCAACTCAATCTGGCTCTGTCAAATATTACGATCAATGCTAGAATAGTTTCTACGATACTATTTCCATAAATAGCTTGCACGCTATGAACACCTACAGTTTCCGGGTTTTATAATTAAAATAGAAATATGCTCTCTTTTGTGATGCATATACATATCGGCATTTTTGAGAATGGAATGAAGAAAAGAATAATAATCATAACAAAAATTGATCTATTCTTACTACATATTCAAAAATGTTAAATGAAAAAAAGGGTTCGGAATGTTTTTTAATATTTCAGAAACTTAAAACCGTATCCGATTATTGCGCATCGAAAATCTACGGATATTCCGAACACGAGTGTAAAAAATAGTCACGATTTCTTCTATGAAAATCATAAAACCCAAAACCTCAGAAACTAATTGGCAGTATAGTGTTGGACATTGCGCCCAGCGCAAGGTGCATAGCAGAGCTGCTGCAATAGCCAAGGATCGGGCAGATCCTTAACCGTAACGAGAAAACGTTTTTTTTCTTTTTTCTTTTTTATGCGACTTTGATTAACAGTTGCGGATGTTACACATATGTGGCCATAGTACCAGTTGGAATTGATGGTGTTTCCTCTGGCCTACCTTTAGGTCCGTATTGTCCGATGAAGGATCCATCTTCAGTGAAGCGGCCTAGAACAAACAACGGATTCCAAACTCTATAGCAAATTTTATATTACTCTTATACGAAAAATATAAAAAAGATATAAACCTATGCGTATGTGTGCATATTAAGATTTTTTTGCTTTGAAATGACACACTAATGGCTGTTGCTCTAGAAATATTAGCATGCAACTTTGTAAAATATTAGATGTGTCAAGTCTAGCATTTATTTTTGCTTCAAAGCTTAGATACAATGGTTTAAGTGTTAAGAAACATGTTTGTGTCAAACTTACCTTAGACTAGAGTGGCAAATGCTTGTGAATTTGGTTCCTGCTTACGATGTCGGCCATATTGACCAATGAAAGAACCATCTTCGTTCATACCCTCTGTATTGATTCAAGCAAAACGTGTAAAGCAAATAAAGTGTATAACAAAATAAAGATTGAATATAACAAATTGAAAATAAAACTTTAAGACAAAAATATATATATTAAAAAATGGATATAATCAGCTTATGCAATTGCAACTGCGAAATATAAATGAAATATATAAAAGGGAAAAGCACTTGCATGATATAAGAAAAATTTCGTGACCATAATCTCAGCTGTGCTCACACGTGAGAGATTGTTATTTCGTGCTATTTCTATATGAAAATATTCAAAGATTCAATGCATCTGTCTATATCACAATAAGATTTCAGTAATGCATACCTAAGCTACTTTATCATATCATAATAATATGTATGCAAATGAATCTAATCAATCATCATATTGGATAATCGAAAAACTCGTGCACAACAAATATACTTTTAATTATATACCATCATATATATATGCCACAAAGACTTTTCTAATGCTCTAGGTATTTCTGAGAGTCCTTCATTGTGCAAGTCGTGTAAAATTCTATAACCAACCTGTATCACCGTCGCCATACTCCGCCATGGAGTCTGTGTCGGATTCAGGATGTTTACCATCCTGATGAGAAGACGATGCCAACGACGCGCGTCCGCCAGCCGATTTCGTATCCAATGGTTGCGAATACTCGTGGAATCCGCCTTCCTCGGGATAATCGCCGCGTCCAGCGGCTAATTCTCGCTCGTGCACCGCATACTTTCCACCTCTGTTTCGTTTGATTACGCAAACGATTATCAACACTAGTAGAAGGATAGCGATCGCCAGCATCATTCCTGTCGGGAAATTCGTAGCGGTCTTTAGCATACGCCAGTTTTGCTAAAGTCAAATCCAATAATACACCTGAGATGCATTACCTATAAACCAGCCAGCCGTCGCGACATTCTCCTTCGGTTGAATAATGGGCCCTTCGCTGCTCGTCTCTACCTCTTGAGTAGCGCTTTCGGTCATGTAGTCTCCATCGACAGCAACAATCGACATCACGTAGACTTCACCGCTTTGAAGACCGCGAACCTGCATGAATTAACAATTTTTTGTTAAATACATATAATTTTTAATTTAACTTCATTTATTATTTTTTTTTTTTTTTTGCAATAAAGATTGTCATAATTATTTTACTCTGCAAACTTACCTCGATAGACTTCGACAGAAATTCCGGATCAGTCATCAAAGATATTGTTTCACCCTTAAGCTTATACTTAACGAAAAAATGGCTGCCCGGATTGCCGTTCAGATTCGGTAGCCAAATCACTCTAACGTTTGAATATCCATTTTCCACTGGTACAGTTTCCCATGTAAAATATGGGACGTCAGGTCGTTGAGACGTTCGTGTTTTTTGTTCAATAAAATAGCTGCAAACATATATTAAAATTATGAGTATAATATTTATCGTCTTGTAGAAATGTTATTAATATTTCTGTGTTCTCTTATAGAACTTACTCATTGCCTTCGCCAATTCTGGTTGTGGCACGTATGTGAACGCGGTATATCGTGTCAGGCGCTAACCCAGCTAATTTGGCAGTTGTCGCTTCTGGATTCATAACATGTGGTTTCCTCTCGAGTAGAGTTCCTAATTTTGTGCCATTCACAACCTGATAATAAATCCTATATCCGGTTAAGATGCCGTTCGGCTCCGCGGGTCGCGTCCATACGAGAAATAGAGCGCTGGATCCCATGGGAAATGCTTCTAAACTGAGAACTGTTCCTGGGACTCCTTCTGGTGTGTCAAAGGTCAAAGTCTCGGACGCAGGACCAGCGTATCTGTATATCCCACAAATACGTTATTATAATAAAATAGAACAATACGACATCAATAATTATCGAACACGTGTATATTCAAAGTTTTTCATTACCTGCCATTATAAGCGAGTATCCTCACATTATTCTTGCTGTACGGAACAAACTTTGTGACCAACGCATGCGTTTTGTTGCCGCGAATGTCAATCTCGCGCATTCCCTTTTCGCCATCCTTATCCGTCCACGTCTGAATCTTGTATCCCTGCAGCTCGCCTCTCACCGATTCTTCCGGTACCGGGCTCCACGACAATTGAGCAGTCGTGCTCGACTTTACTTGATTCAGTGTAAAATTACCTGGCGCTTGCAGAGGTACTAAAATGAAGTGATTTAACGATATTATATCGTACTATTATCGATCGCTAAATATAGTTGCAATTTTAATGTTAGTTAATAATAAAATAATTTTTCATCATGGATTGTACCATCTTCTCCGGAATATCCGGCAACTTCTTCGGCCGTAGCTTTACTTTCTCCTCTCTCGTTTATCGCGACGACTTTAATCTTGTATCTCTGATATGTAGGTTGATTCTCCACAAGCAGATTGTTTTTTCTCCAATCGTTTATATCTTGTATAGTCCACCTCTCGCCTGGTATATCTCTTCTATAATACACTCGGTACATAAATCTTGGAGCATTGTGCTCTATTTGCGGCATAGTCGTCCACGAAATAACCAAATTTTGCGGTGTGGTGCCTTTGCCCATGATATTATCCGGATTTTTATAAGGGACATCTGCTAAGGTGGTACAAATGTCGCTGTGCGGTGATGGTAAAGATGGACCTGTTATAAATACCAATGTATCAAAGTTTCTATTCTCTTTCATTTAAAAACGGAATAAAAAGTTGCGTAATGACATATAAAAATTAGCGATTAATTTAACGCACTGAATTATATCATTGCAATGGACATAACTTTTTAGTTTCAAGGATGATTAAAGTCTTACCTATCTTATTCCACGCGAGAACGCGGAATGTGTAATTGGCCCACGGTGACATAGGCACTGAATATCTCTGCTCGGTGGCGGCAACAAAATCTTTGGATATCTCCCAAGTATCCGGCGCAAAGCTGGTGTTATATTGAATAGTGTAACGCAGAATAGGTGCTCTGTTATCGCCCATAGGTATCCATTGAACGATGGCTTCCGTGGACATGCACGTGATGCCGATTAATCTCGGTGCATTAGGTACATCCTGAACTATCAGCGTCGCCTGCGCTCTCGCTTCGTCCAAATCGGTGTGCGCGACGCAAGTATAAGTACCGGAATCCAATTCGGTCGTCTTTGTGATCATTAGAGAATAATCGGAGCTTCGTATGAATCTTGGTTCCATCTCGAAGTCTATCGGTTCACCGTTGCTTAGCCAGTCTATGATCAGAGGTAGACTGGGATCAGTAACAGCATTGCACCTAAACAAACACAAAAAAGAAAGATCAAAAACGAGATTCCTAATTTTGTATAGTTTCAGGATTATAAATTTATTTATGAGATTTTTCTTTTACCTAAATGTGGCAGTGGAGCCCGCCGCGACTTCGTAATCCTCCGGCTCGTCCGTTATTTTAGTGTGCTCCTTCACTACCAATTCGGCAGACGCCTTCACCTCGCCAAATTTATTAGAGGCGTGACACGTATAAGTACCCGCGTCCAAGAATATCACGTTCTCAATCTCCAAATCGCCCGTGTCCAAAGTCTTGTAACGACCACCAGTCAACTCCTGTCCGTTCCTGATCCATTTAACCTCGGGTTTGGGCGCTCCGAAAACGCGGCATGTGATCCGCACGGTCTTACCATCGACTGTGCTCATGTCCGTGGGCGGTTGCGTGATGTCCGGATCGAGCGCCAACACGTTTACGTACACATCTTTGTAAACGTATCCCAATGAGTTGGTGGCGTTACATCCATAATTACCCGTGTCTTTCTTCACAAGCTTCTCGATGACAATAGAATTTGACGTGACTCGCCGCCTGCTGTTCGGCGGAGCCTCGGATATCGGTTTGCCGTTGTGTATCCATTTGATCTCAGGAACGGGCACTCCGCTGGCCTCGCATCTAATTTCCACGGTCTCGTCCTCCGCGGCGTTCACGAATTCCGGCTCGACCGTGAAATACGGGACGGCCATCACGTTCAAATTTATCGAATACGATTGGGCAGCGCCTACTCCGTTCGACGCCTCGCAAGTATACGTTCCCTCATCTTCGAAATTGACGTGCTTTATGACAAGAGACTTGCCGTAGTTACCTTGAGTTATTCTGTCGCTCGGACTGATCAGTTCGCCGTTTTTGCTCCAAACGATCTGAGGCAAGGGTGTTCCACCATATATACAATACATCTCTACTTTCTTGCCGCGTAAAGCGACCTCGTTTTTCCTACTGACGTATTGTCTCTCAGGAGGATACTTGTTCTGGCCAGCGGACGAGCCTGTAGAAACTACGTATAGCAGAACCTTATTGCCTAATTTGTATTCGTTTCTGAACACAGATGTGGCGGCACAGGCATAGTAAAAGTCATCCGAGGCATCACCCCTCGTAACATTGCTGAACCAGAGATTACCCTCCGGATCCAGAGTCATTCTCGAGTTATTGATCGACTTGATACCACCAGCAATATCCTGAATTAGCCAATAAACGTTCGGCTTAGGCCAGCCGTCGGGTGGTTGGCAGGTAAGTTTGAAAGGGGAACCCTCATTCGCGCTTATAGTTGTCGGATTTTCGTCCTTGAAAGAATTCAATTCAGCCTTTCGAACAAACACAGAGTTCGACGTGGCTATACCCCATTCGTTCTCCGCAAAGCATTGATATTGCCCTAAATCTTCGTCTCTTGGTCTTGAGATCACTAAGGTGCCTCTACCAGGTTGTTGAGAAATGCGATCGTCATACGCCGGCCATTCAAAGTCTTTCCCATTTTTAATCCAACGATATCTATAATATAATAGTAAATATATAATATATAAGTATAATATTTATGTATAATATATAGATCACTAATACCAGGTTGTTGAGAAATGCGATCGTCATACGCCGGCCATTCAAAGTCTTTCCCATTTTTAATCCAACGATATCTATAAATCTATAATAAATATATAATATATAAGTATAATATTTATGTATAATATATATAAGTATATTAGATTGTATATTAATATATTTAAATAATATATATAAGTAATACTATACTGTGTATATATATATATTATACTTGTATGTATATATCTCATACAAAAAATTACGACACTCATATAATACATTATGCATATAAAAAATGTTACATAATAATGAATATACTTATATCCGCGTCGTCAAATATCGAAGACAAAATCAATTTTACAGTGCACAATGATAAATGTTTGACATTAAAGTTCTTTAAATTTATTTGTTTTCACGAATTTATTTTAAAAACTCTACATAAGAAACTCTGTTCACGTTCCTATATTCATACAAGACAGATAACTGTGTATTAGTGACTATTATTTCATACATCCTAAAGCTATGAGATCATCTTTGTAATTAAGATCGGCCGGTTCTACCGGCTGCACGAGATGAATAAGCTTGATTGCTATAAGTGCAATGAAACTTTATGAGTGAGAGATGTCTCCAAAGTACATTTTCCGTTCTTGAGAAACTTAGCGAGACTGTCAGGACATATTTACATAATAGACATCTCCTTGATGATATCTTATTAGGCATTGTCTAATAGTGTCAGAAAACAATATGCTCAACTAGTGACATAGAGATATGTAATAAAAAGATTTGTTCTCTATATGTGTAACAAATAAGCTTTGAGAAAAGAAATAGATACATACGTTGGAGCTGGTTCTCCCTCTGCTTCGCATTCAATTAAAAATGGTTTATCATTTTCGTTGATTTTTGCCTGGACCACTTGAAACAACTGCTCATCTGTTGGTGGCTGTTTAGATATCCGTGGCGGCGATTGAACTAATAATCGAAAAATGTATTAGAGCAATCATGCCATTGAAAAAAAGATAAACTAGTAAAAAAGTTAAATAACATGTATAATAGTAATACAAATATAATCTAAAAAGGACAATAAAACACAGAAAATACATTTATATTACTTATATTTAATACAATGACTTTGCTATGATAAATGATCCTAATGATTTTTAACTTTAGCTTAATTGTAGTAAGGAGCAACTGTAGTTTACAGTATAAATTGTTGAAATTAAGTAATATGTATATTATGATAATAAAATATAGAGAAAATAAAAGATCACATACAGATACAATGGAGGAAAAACAGAATATTAATATTCTTCAAAGTATATGTACAAAAATACATATACACATACAGATACTTATTAAAAATAAGAAGTTAGTAAATAATTGTAACTGTAGAAATAATTCTACAGTTTGCGTGTGTATAAAAACGAAAATTATAGCCTATATGAAATATAATCATAATAATAAAATTCACAAAGAGAAAATTTATAAAACATTATTATATAATATTATTCTTTCTTTCATATGTTTTGGCAGTCAGAGCAATCTGTACACAGATATGATTGTGTGAATGTACATATATTATGAAGAGTGTATATATTTTAAATAGATAAATACATGTAGATATGTAAGTGTATAAAAGCATAGCATCCCTATGTAGAGAAAATTGTTTTGCACAAAAATATTTTGCGTAAATAAAAATTACTCTTATGTAACAGAAAGCACAATTATTTATAATAATTTTTATAACAGTGTCTTTCACCTTCTACATAATCCGGGACACGTACTATAATTAGAAATTAAATATTACAATTTTAATGGCAAAATTTATTGCGATACCATAAAGTTTATATTATGTATTAACAATAATAAAAAAAAAAAACTTTAGTAAATAAATACAATATAATTTCAACTCACTTATAGCTGATGCCCCCAGCACCAGAATGGAAATAATGTACACAGTGAGCTTCATGGTCACAACGTACTTAGAAAGCTAAAAAAAAAAAACGGGTGGTTGGCAGGTAAGTTTGAAAGGGGAACCCTCATTCGCGCTTATAGTTGTCGGATTTTCGTCCTTGAAAGAATTCAATTCAGCCTTTCGAACAAACACAGAGTTCGACGTGGCTATACCCCATTCGTTCTCCGCAAAGCATTGATATTGCCCTAAATCTTCGTCTCTTGGTCTTGAGATCACTAAGGTGCCTCTACCAGGTTGTTGAGAAATGCGATCGTCATACGCCGGCCATTCAAAGTCTTTCCCATTTTTAATCCAACGATATCTATAATATAATAGTAAATATATAATATATAAGTATAATATTTATGTATAATATATATAAGTATATTAGATTGTATATTAATATATTTAAATAATATATATAAGTAATACTATACTGTGTATATATATATATTATACTTGTATGTATATATCTCATACAAAAAATTACGACACTCATATAATACATTATGCATATAAAAAATGTTACATAATAATGAATATACTTATATCCGCGTCGTCAAATATCGAAGACAAAATCAATTTTACAGTGCACAATGATAAATGTTTGACATTAAAGTTCTTTAAATTTATTTGTTTTCACGAATTTATTTTAAAAACTCTACATAAGAAACTCTGTTCACGTTCCTATATTCATACAAGACAGATAACTGTGTATTAGTGACTATTATTTCATACATCCTAAAGCTATGAGATCATCTTTGTAATTAAGATCGGCCGGTTCTACCGGCTGCACGAGATGAATAAGCTTGATTGCTATAAGTGCAATGAAACTTTATGAGTGAGAGATGTCTCCAAAGTACATTTTCCGTTCTTGAGAAACTTAGCGAGACTGTCAGGACATATTTACATAATAGACATCTCCTTGATGATATCTTATTAGGCATTGTCTAATAGTGTCAGAAAACAATATGCTCAACTAGTGACATAGAGATATGTAATAAAAAGATTTGTTCTCTATATGTGTAACAAATAAGCTTTGAGAAAAGAAATAGATACATACGTTGGAGCTGGTTCTCCCTCTGCTTCGCATTCAATTAAAAATGGTTTATCATTTTCGTTGATTTTTGCCTGGACCACTTGAAACAACTGCTCATCTGTTGGTGGCTGTTTAGATATCCGTGGCGGCGATTGAACTAATAATCGAAAAATGTATTAGAGCAATCATGCCATTGAAAAAAAGATAAACTAGTAAAAAAGTTAAATAACATGTATAATAGTAATACAAATATAATCTAAAAAGGACAATAAAACACAGAAAATACATTTATATTACTTATATTTAATACAATGACTTTGCTATGATAAATGATCCTAATGATTTTTAACTTTAGCTTAATTGTAGTAAGGAGCAACTGTAGTTTACAGTATAAATTGTTGAAATTAAGTAATATGTATATTATGATAATAAAATATAGAGAAAATAAAAGATCACATACAGATACAATGGAGGAAAAACAGAATATTAATATTCTTCAAAGTATATGTACAAAAATACATATACACATACAGATACTTATTAAAAATAAGAAGTTAGTAAATAATTGTAACTGTAGAAATAATTCTACAGTTTGCGTGTGTATAAAAACGAAAATTATAGCCTATATGAAATATAATCATAATAATAAAATTCACAAAGAGAAAATTTATAAAACATTATTATATAATATTATTCTTTCTTTCATATGTTTTGGCAGTCAGAGCAATCTGTACACAGATATGATTGTGTGAATGTACATATATTATGAAGAGTGTATATATTTTAAATAGATAAATACATGTAGATATGTAAGTGTATAAAAGCATAGCATCCCTATGTAGAGAAAATTGTTTTGCACAAAAATATTTTGCGTAAATAAAAATTACTCTTATGTAACAGAAAGCACAATTATTTATAATAATTTTTATAACAGTGTCTTTCACCTTCTACATAATCCGGGACACGTACTATAATTAGAAATTAAATATTACAATTTTAATGGCAAAATTTATTGCGATACCATAAAGTTTATATTATGTATTAACAATAATAAAAAAAAAAAACTTTAGTAAATAAATACAATATAATTTCAACTCACTTATAGCTGATGCCCCCAGCACCAGAATGGAAATAATGTACACAGTGAGCTTCATGGTCACAACGTACTTAGAAAGCTAAAAAAAAAAAAAACAATTTTTGTTTATATTAAAGATAAATAAAAATCATTAAGAGAAGAAATGTATCGTGCTAAAAATTATTTTCTAAGCTATCAAATTTTTCCAATTTTACTAGAAACAATAATCGATCAAATGTTACACATGCCCTATAATATTCGCTAATGAATGTAATACTCGATGAAAGCGGCAACACATAGTGTGGGATTTCTTTTTAATTAATTACGCATCAGTCCACGGTCATATACCTCATACACTTTTGCTATTGCGGTAAATAGAAAATTGCACACATACACACACACACACACACACATACCCATATATACGTAATAATATATAACGCGCGCGTGCGCTTAGGCATATGTACATACTGCCGCAAAATCGAAGCTGACCCAATTATATCTGAAATTTTCAAATTTGCCGGGATGTTGTTATGAAACGACAGTTGCTAATGGAAACGCGTAAAAAATGGGCGTGTACTCGCGCCGCAAAAATTAAAAAAAAAAGTCAATAAACGATACGTTTCCCACATATGTGTGTTACAATAGGCATAAGCCGATTGTCAATACGATCGCGGGGAATGACCTTAACGTTGGGAAAATACAAAGAAATTCGCACAATTCGTCAACCTCCGTATTAAAATTCGTCTCGCTGACTAAAGCATCGATGACGGACTCGTTCACTCGATGATATCACTCGCTGTCCTTCGTCGCGGATCTCGCGGGACGCGTTTCGTCCGTCCTTTGAAATTTTCACGATGAATCTTACGACGACGTAGGGCGCATCGTTTCGCCGCGAGAGAATGCCGGATTTCTCTCGACGATACACGACAAAATATTGCGGAGAAAAACGGAAAGGCAGGGGCAGCAAAAAGCGGGCACACCCGCAAGATTGCATTGATCGCCCAACGCCGTCGGTATCCACCTACCTGTCTCTCTTTTTCTCTCTCTCACTCTTTCTCTCTCTCTCTCTTGTTTGTCTCCACGCCTGTCGTCGATCTCGTCTTGCCAACAACGAGATTGAGGCCGGTGATCGCTGATTGATATAATCGCGGACTCACCGAGATCTCGGGCGGTGCGTCACAGTATCCAGCACGTCGTCATCACCACTAAGCCATCATCGAAAAACTGCGGAAACCACTGACTGACTCGGATACGTAACTCGTCGTACGGTATCGTGCTGTTGTGCGTGTGACGTCTTGCATATGGTATGTGTGTGTATGGGTAGAAGAGAGGACACCGAATATATGTCGTTGAGACGCTATCCTATCTATATCAACGCTAGATACGTAATGCTATCCTACTTACCAGCTGGAAGGATAACTTATTGGATGAGAGATCAATGTTTTATCATTAGAGATGTTAAAGATCGACCGATGGTTAAAATTTCGTGATTATCAATGATGGCAATAATTATCAATTATTTCGACTTGACTAAAAATTAATTAAAAGTATTAGTGTTTCAACCTGCATATTAAATTACTGTTTTATATAATAAAATTGGAACAACTCTAATTATACTTGTTCTTGCGACCATAACAGTTTAAACGGAAACGGCCAATATAGCCGTATAAATATGACATGTGAATAAAATATGTATTAAAAATATTTTATTATTATACTAAAGAGAGATTTGTCGGCGATACAATTTTGTAATGCGAATATTAATATATTTTTATATAAAGAATAAGATAAGATTTGCGAAGTGCGAACTCATTCCTTTTCAAACTTTTGGCAACACCTTTTTTTTTGTTCCATAATAAGAGTAAATAAATATAAATATATTAATTTTATACATATACACAAATAATCTTATTTGCAATTTGTTTAACTTTTGTTTATCTGATGGGCTTAAAAAAACCGAGTTTGCTTGTTTTTCAGCAATACAGAATGACAATAAAAATTAATAAAGTATTTTTCAATTTATAATTTGAAAAGTCTAGAATGCTATTTTTAAATTTGTCGATTATTTATCCTGACTCTCTCTATACATATATATAATACATACTGTGCAACATGAAGAAAAAAGCAAAATTTATTATACAGAAGATAATTACAGGTTTTATTGCTAATCGATTAAACATTTTGATATTGATCAGGCTCTACGTCATGAATATGTCGTAGGAGAAACGTAACTTTAACTTGTTCAACATGTCGACATAATTTCATGGCTAAACTCGTCCTTAATTTCATATGCTGAGTAAGAGAAGGAAGATTCAGCAGCAAAAATGCAAGGCCATCAATTTCCTACAATTAACAAAGAAAGATTTTATCATCAAATATATAAGTTATAATATAATAATTAAAAAAAACTTTAATTTCTAGAATTAAAATATGCATAAATACTTACTTCTTCTTTGACACGATATGCGAGATCTTTGCAGTCGTTAGTTTTTCTAAGATATCGAAACACATCGTCTACACTCCAATATAACGGATTCGAATCGAGCTTACGAGTCTTCGGTCGCCGTTGCGTCTTTTGCATTCTTACGTATTCAGCATCTGCCTCAGAGCAATCAGATTCTATGCTCGTGTCCCAATCTCTCTTAATTCCTCTAGTGACTCCAGAGTTTTGATTAAATCTCGTCATATGTTGCTTAGAGTTTAAATTAGGAGGACTAGACAATTCTCTGTCTTTTATTTTTCTGTCATTAAACGAACTACCAGAATCTTCCGAAGCATTGCTGGAAGGTATTTCAGTCTTAAAGTCATCCGACTTGTCGGATTTCTCCAGACCTTTCTGTATCATGATATCTATTTCCGAAAGTGGTTGTCTTCCATCGAATACCTGGTGAATATGACTCTCCGAAACATGTTTC